CATTGGAGTTGAAAATCCGGATCTTATTTTCATTTTCATGCTGAGTGATGTTGACCTCCACACAGACTTGAGAGTAATGAAAGCTTGTCTTGCTTTTCCGATCCTTGCTTTGATATCCTCGTCAGTTCCGTCTGCCTGTAGTTGAAACGATGTTTCCCAGGTAGGTAGGTGAAGGAGGTTGCTTCTTTCAGGTTCCTTCCATTTATGCTGATTGTTGTCTGTTGTTGTTGCTGTTGCTGTTGGCCAGGAATCTTCATCACCTCTGTTTTCTCCATGTTTACTTGGAGTCCTATCTTTGATGCTTCTTCTGCCAACTTGTTGCTTATCACTTGCATATCTTCCAGTTTGTGGGAAATCAGACATATATCATCGGCGAAGTCCAGATCCTCCAAGTTTTTCTCGTGAGAATCCATTTTATGCCTGTTTCCTCGCTGCCCGCTGTCTGTCGCATTATCCAATCTAACTGCAATCAGGAAAATCATTGGCGATAGTAGGCAGCCAGATTGTCTTACTCCCGTCTTCACTTCGAAGGATTCCGTAAGTTTCCCGTTGTGGATTACTTGGCATGCAGCATTGTCGTACAACTGTTGGATGAGATGTATAATTGTCGGCGGCACCCCGTAGTAGCGAAGTAGTTGCCAAATCACCTCTCGATCGACGCTGTCAAGTGATAGAATACCAGATTAGTAATTCATTGGCCGCAGATTCGATTCCTTCAGTTATTAACCTCTACATTAACATCTATCAGTTGATATATTATAAAATGGCTAGAAGTGTTTTGATTGCTTTTAATGAGCTGGTGGTAAATTCATATGATTACATTATGTAAATTTTATAACAGAATAATTTTGTTCGATAAAAGCAGTCAGCAATATTTTATAATATTTTCAGAAACAATTCATTGCTTATAATCATATCAAGGTGATCACATAAGCTTCAGATTTCGTTGACGTAGTTCCATCATTTCTTATCTTTTGGTAAATAATACGTCCCATATCTCTGGTGTTGATGCGGAGTCATTCCTATTGCGCAAGTTAGTGTAAATTCTATCAAGAAGGATTCTGTGATTATCCTCTCCCTTCACCTGACTATATTACTCTTCGGAACCTTAGCTTTATTCTACTCTGTTGTGTGACTATGTGTTACTGGATGCGCTGCAATTGCTGAGGTGTTTTCTAAAGTTGCTCAGCATTTTAGGATCAGTCATTCTACACACAGACACAGTATTACTTACTGCCTACAGATAAAAATCGCAGTGGTCACTTCGTCTGAACTTCAAAAACGCTCGCCCTATAACTCATATAAATGGATTGATGAGAACATTGTTTTGTTGTGTAAGAAAGCTTTGCTCACAGGAAGAGGTCAAAGAGAAGTTATCCATTGTGGTGACAATGGTTATCCACAGACGTTCATCGACAAACATGGAAAAAGTAGGTTGGCGGCAGGGGATTGTAGTAAAGTGAAGAAAAAGCCTGTCTTTCTACAACTTCCTTCAAAATGTGATGACACTGTCAGGAGAATAAGGTGCAGACTGAACGCTGCACTGAAAGAAAAATATACAGCCTTCAAGCCCCAATGTCTGTATCAAACAAATAGCTGACTGAGATAATTAAAAGTGGACAAACTCTCACTTCGTGTTGACTCGGACTTGATCTGCCAATTTTTATGCATGTGTCAAAGCGCATACATCGGAAGAACGGAGAGAAGGTTTATTCTCTGAATATCTGAACACATACCAAAACACTTGAGACTAAAGGGTTCACAGGCATTAAACAGTAAGACTATATGCCATACATTTGGTATTGGTCACATTAGGGACAATCTGAGGGCGTTCAAAATAATCAACAGGCAAACAAAACCCAACGTCATCTACTGTTATACCATATAAAGAGGGGACATCTGAGACCTCCCTACGTAGGATTCTTAGTAAAGCAGGAATTAGGGTGGCATTCAAACCTACAAACTCACTCAGGTAAGACAAGCTCTGTAGGTTAAAGGACCCAGTGGACCCAATTAAACAAAATAATATAATTTACAAAATACCCTGCAATGACTGTGAGTTAGGTCAACTATATAGGTCAAACTAGTAGATCGGGGGTAATCAGATTGTCGGAACATAAAAATTTAGCTAAGGTAAGAGTGGTTGACCCCGAGAAGATAAGTAATTTAGAAAAAAGCTCAGCAATTGCACTTCATGCATTAACACACAACCACACAATAGCATGGTGGGAGAGGGTTAAAATTCTAAAAAGTAATCTATGTGGGTGGGTGGAGAGAGAGATTGATTACTGAATCCTGCCTGGTTCATTGAGTCTACACCCAACACATACAACAGAAATGACTCAATGCAAATACGAGAAATATGGAAGATATTATTACCACCAGTCAGTCAAATCAGAAGAGGATAACAAATAATACTAAAATTCTATTTCAATTCAAGCACATCATAACATTCTAACATGTTACTTAATATGACTATAAAAACACTCGTCTTATTTCCCATCTGATTGTATTTGATTGATAACACTCATATTATTATTTCTGAATGTACATTATCCTATATTGAATTGTTTTTTAATATCTAGTCAATTGCGCACATGTATATAAATGAAGGAAAAAGCTGTGTCAGTAACTTGATATTACTAGAAGCAATAATTTGTGCTCGAAACGTGGTCATCAGTTAATGTTACTGTGTAACACTGTGTGATTTATCAAAATAAAATCTTATCCATAATGGAGTCAAAACCCAACGTGTTATGTTTTCCTAAAACAGTCGCCATAGAACGCAGAAAGAGACAGTGATGAATTCCATTATGGGTAAAATTTATTTATTTATTTTTATTTCAAAATAAATTTTACCCATAATGGAATTATACTCAACCACAGTGCACAAGTTCTATTTTTATATCAATGATAATGGGCTGACTCTTGACCAATGCTGCTTATGCCTTCTGACTCAAGGGAACACTCAGACTATCTGAGCTGTAATCGAGTGACGAATCATAATGGATCACTGTTGAAATCTCTTCAACTGGCTGAAAAAGTCATTCAGCGTTTTAAAGCACATGACATATTTTGTTTGTGAAGAATTACCAAGGAATGAAACAAGAAAACCTATACTTTGTAACACTTAGCAAGTAATGCCACTTTTTCAGACAACAGTTTCATTGAAACTTTCCCCTAAGAGAAACAGTATGATGTTACCTGCACATCTTTTTTCAGTTTTTCAATCGTTGAGTCCCTAGTAGAACGATGGAAGTTCAGGCTTGATACCTTACAGTCTCGGTAGCTGTGGTGTGTTTTACAAGGTAGAATTGCTAGCCTCACACTTAATCTTCCCTCACTTCTGGATTTACTATCGGGTAATCCAGTAAACTAGGTGAGGTTACAGAATGTGATCGCAGGGAATCAAACCCTTGACCATGTACGTGGTTGTTGAGCATTCTATCACGACTGACGCACACACAGTTATCTAAAAACATATTTAATCAGAGGTGCATGTACAAAACAAGCTGTTAACTGTTATGCAATTGATATACAATTGTTGTCATCAGAGATTTTTTTTCCTTCACGTTCCCCAGTGGAACATGGGGCGGCTTCAAGCTAGTGGCTTGAAGTTTCTGTAGCAGTGTTTATTTTACAGGATGGGGTTGCTAGCCTCATGTCCAACCTTTCCTCTACACCAGCATTATTTCTGCCTTAGCGAGGTAAAGGAGTGAGTCGGCCGGGGATCGAACCCCGGACCATGTGCATGGTCGGCGAGCGTCCTAACCGCTATGCCACCGACACACCCATTAGATGAGTCCGGAAAGTAGACTAGTGAATTCCAAAAAACATATTATAATTACACAAAACAGTGCATATGAACTATTCCTATGCATCTAAAGGTAAAAATAAATCCATGTTACAAAGTCATACGCAACAAAAGGAGGTGTCTGACTGCTTATCTTTCAGGGATAGATTAGTATAAATTACTAACAGAAGTTTCACAAAGTTGCTAATAAGCAGTTGATTACCAATGTATGGAAAGCATCAAATGGTTTCTGACACTTTTCCGACATAAAAATCATTTTTGTCGTTTCAGACATATGTTCAGTATTTCCTGCCTATTGAATATCCATCCAGCCAATATCAAATATTTTGTTCCTGGATGGTTACAGGCAATCTGCAAGAAACTGTACACCTAGGTTCCATGCTTATTGGCATAAGTCATTGAGATGTAACTCTCAGACAATATCAATTCCTTCGTTGTTCCTACTATGCCTTGATGACCAATGTCAAAAAGCACGAGACCTAGGTCCAATGGTTCTCATTGATTGCCTTTAAATAATGTAATAATAATAATTCTGTATGCACTGCGAATAGGAACTATCAAGGTTGATGGCTAACAGCTGCCTTCGCTCAATACCACTCAAGATCAGATGGCCGGCCAGAAAAGATCAGCAACAGGGATCTCTGGCAATGAGCGAACCAACCCAGCAGGAACCGATTGTGCAACAAATAAACAGGAAGAAATGGAGTAGGTGGATTGGCCATACTCTGAGAAATCAAACCATCAAGTGACATCACTAGACAAGCCATTGCTCGAGTGGAACCCGAAAGGGAAGCGGCGAGTTGGTCGTCAGTACGAGGGTGACTTGGAGGAGGTCATGTGAAGAGGAGATGAAAGCATGTGGGCATACGTGGAGCCAGGTGAAAACTCTAGCAGAGAACCGAACGCGATGGAGACGTGCAGCTGAAGCCCTATGTTCCTCTAGGAACTGAAGGAAATAATAATGAGGTTGATGGCTAGATTGCGAACACGAATTACAGAATTCACTCAGCACCAACACAGTAAGATCTAGACAACTTCACTCCGATTGCTTCCTGACCACAAAGCAACCAAATACTGTGCTATAGTGTGTGTTCATTATTCACTGGTATCAACGATCATAAATCCTACCTTACTCATCATTTTAAAAGAAGGATTACAGAACAATGGCTTTAGAATAAAAACTCACGTTCCAGGTAGTTCTTCTTCACCATCTCCTTGACCTGGTAAATCAATATGGACCCAAGTGGATCGTTGCATAATTGGAATCATTTTAGAATGCGCCACAAATTCTTCATATTGGTAGTCTGAAAGAAATTTAAGTAGTAAGAAATCGTGGAAATAAATTTTTGTGTTTTGAGATGAGATAATTTTGAAGAGTATATTCGATTTACTAGACATCTACACATAATGAATCATATGTGGTGAGAAAATCCTGTACACAATTTGCACCAGAGTAAAGCGATTCAATTAGTCACAATTCAAAAAAATCAAACATAAGAGTAAAAAGCACGATAAACTCCAGGAAACTATAATCTACAAAAAGTTACAGGATAATGATTTGGATAGGAGTACAATAATTACTGAATTCAATGAAGTACATTCGGCTATGAAATTCACATGCGAAGAGGAACCCAAAAACAGAATTGCTTTTCTGGATGTCCTCCTTACAAGAAACCCAAATGGTAGCATAAAAAAGAAATTTGCATAGAAAAAGTACTTGGACAGGAAATATACACATTTTCACAGCTTCGTTTCTATCAAATACAAAAGAAATTTAGTGAAGACCCTCAGCCACAGAGTTAAAGCTATATGCTCAGAAGAAGTAATTGAAGATGAATTAAGCATTGTATATGATACTTTGATCGAAAATGGTTATCCTGACAAATTTATCAAGAAACACATGACAAAGAAAGGCGGAAAAGGACTACTCACTATCTGTAAACAAGAAGCCACTTTGCATACGACTACAATTCAAGGGCGATATACCAAGTGAGATAATTACGAGGAAATTAAGAAAATGAGTTCAAAGAACTTTTAATACTGGCAAACTACACGTATTATTCTCTACACGACCGATGGTGCTACCTCGACTGAAAGATGAAGTACCTAAACTAGCCACTTCAGATTGTATCTACCAATTCAACTGCGCTGATGGTGGAGCGAGTTATATTTGCCATTGCTCTAGGAACTTGATTTTTCGTGCTCACTCGAGAACATCTCCCACTATGGCTAAGTAAAGGTGTAGTTAAAACCATTAACAGTTCGATATTGGACCATCTGGTGCAAACCGGCCACAAAGCCAGCCAGCGTTGAAGAATCCTTCTCTATAATCTACCAGGTGCCTAATAAATTGAGAAAATCATTGAAGCACCGCATGCTCCAAACAGCAGAGTCTACTGCAATTCACCTCAAACAGCCAGTGCTCTGTGTTTAAAAGAAGCAAGTCCAGCACCTACTACTGCCTTGGCCAGCCTCCAGTGGAGACTATAAATTCATGAATTTGTAATATTATCTTTCCTAATTTCTTTCTGACATTCAGCTTATTTTATGTTGATGCTATGGAACTGTAATCTATTGATATTGTTATTGATTCGATGTTATTTAAACAACGAATTTTACCAAGAATATCTGTCTAATTATCTTACACACACAGCCAACGCTTTTGACACTTAATAACCCAACTACTGATACATACTACTTATAGCTACTATCAGTAACTTGCATGCTAAAGCTCCTCTTTTTCAAGATATATATATGTATATATATTTAGATTGTAAGCAGCTGAAAGAAATCCCTGAAATAATGAAACATCAGTCTATATTGGCCTGTAACATCTGCTCCTCTGGCTTCGGGCAAAAGTCTGTTATTGACTGTTAGAAATTACTTTAAATAAAAAGTATATATATCAAGTAGACAATAGTCTCGGTTGTCATTTTTTTTCACATTCATTCAGCGTAGTAAAAGCACAAAAAGGCTTAGGGGAAATCAAGCGAAAATATCAGAAGTTATTCAAGAATTACTTAATGCGTGAAAATATATATATATACATATGACAAATAAAACGATTACCGGGGTGAACTAACAATAGATGAAGAAATTATTAGACACTGCCTAATGCAATAGAAATACTTCAAAACCAAAAAAGTAAGTAGCCTTCAATAGTGAAGTCATGTAGCTTGCATATCGTTGGATACTTTTGTTCCTAGATCAGATGCTTCTCTTTTTTGATTAAACTAAGCTATAGAATTATATATGTCCAAACCAAGTTCACTTTTAACAGTTTGAAAAAATTTGGGCATTGGGTATATGATATTCATTATAATAAAGGTTTTTTATATTTCCCAATGAACGAAAAACAAAACGATATTGTTTTTACTGACGTTTCGCTATTTAATGCTAATAGCTTTATCAAAGTATTATTAAACCGGAATTTACAAAATCTCAGCATATACATAACAAAGTCATTCCATATAGAGCAGAGACGTCAGAAGATATCAGAAGAGTACTCAATCAGCTCGACATTAGAGTTTTCTTTAAAACATCAGACACACTACGAAACAACCTTGTCCATATAAAAGACCAAATCCCTAAAGATTCTCTATCTAATTGTGTCTATAAAATAAAATGCTTGGAATGTGATGCGAAATACATCGGACAAACATCTCGAGAAATCAAAATCAGAAGAAATGAACACCGTAGAGCATCTGTTCGACCACCGAGAAATCCGGTTGAACTAGAAAAACTAGAAAAATCATCAGCCATAGGTCTACACGCTATAGAATCAGGTCACAAAATTGATTTTGACAATATTGAAATAATCTAGAAAAAGCATTTCAGAAATCACAAAGAACGTCTAATATCAGAAGCACTTCATATCAAGTGGAATCCAAATTGTCTGAATAGGAATGATGGACTAAAACAGAATCTGACCTGGTTACAACACCTCCCTCCCCCATCAAGTGACAAAATCAACACGAATGTGATATGCAAGTTCACTATGTAAACACACACTGCTTTTATAATTTTAAACACTGATCAAATCCAACAATCTACACGTGGTTTTGTTATCTTCACCAATTGACCAACTTGACAACGAAAACTGACCCCAGACTAACGAACGATGATCAAGTTAGTAAACTTTGTTTTGATATCATAACAGATGTACTATTACCTTTGTTATTTGGTTTAGTGATCTTCATTGTTATTTTGACTTTCAATATGTCCTTTTAACTTGACCTAAGTCTATTTTCTCACCCCCTAACTGTTTGTTATATATATGCTGAGATTTTGTAAATTCCGGTTTAATAATACTTTGATAAAGCTATTAGCATTAAATAGCGAAACGTCAGTAAAAACAATATCGTTTTGTTTTTCATTCATTGGGAAATACAAAAAACCTTTATTATTATAAGCTATACAATGGCTTGGTATGCACTCAAACAAGTTTCATCTCTCTCTCTCATTCCGGTGCTGTGGATTCTAAAATGGTCAGCAGAACTTGATAATGATGAAAAATCTCTCTATGGAACCTGCTTAATGCATACAATAGAAATAACTCGACAGTCACACAAATTCATCAGACCAAGATGCCCTGACTGCTTCAACGTCTAATGACGAATGATTATGAATGTCGACAGCATGATTATATTTTGTATTCATGCAGCCAAGTAAACAAATAATAAACAGATTTTAGGTTTTGTTGGCATTTTAATTAGTTTTTAATTCTTACTGATGAAAATTCCTAGATTATGACGGGACAACAGTACAGACACTCTTGGTTTCTCATGAACCGTTGAATAATATCAGTACGTGATGAAGTCTGTATTCGGAAATTAATCCAAATCCCCACAAAACTGAAAATGCAGAAAATACTATTCTCCAGCTCTTTAGTAGCTGTAGAATGGATGTGTTGGACTTCAAATAGGTCGTGACCATTGGGGTCCCCCATACCTAATGTCGTTTGACGATAGCACTATATCGTGAGTAGACAGCAGTTAGATTCCATCTCGGTGGCAGAATGGTCGGTCGACAGATTCGCTTCACAATCTAAAGGCCTTGGTTTAGACCATGTCTAGTGTAGTGGGTGCTCACTAAAAGTTCCAAATTAGGATTGCTAAATAGTCCCAACAATTTCCTTACTGATGATATTTCTTGATGAAATGCACACTGAATATAAACAAATACACCTAACATATATGTTATAAATGAAACCCACACAAGCACACACCACACCAACGCATAAATTAAAAGACGAACAAAACTGCTTAATATCTTGCCTAGCCTTATGTCAATGGAAATCATATGACTGTGACCTAAATAGCGGCAAGTGCACAAATATTTGTATAGCGGGAAAATCGGGTGGTAGATGGAGGAATACCTCTTTCCTCCTTTTCTTCCCCTCAAAATAGAATAAACTGTCATGTGATTAGAAGCAATTGTGCTTCCGTCATTCTTGTTATCCCATATTACATCACATAACAAAGTTTACAGTATCTATCTACATACCTTATTTATTCGACAGTTACATACAAACTTTTGACAAGAAAAATGACATTTTCACCTTGTAGATATGCATACAAGTAATGATACGCTTGAATCCAGGTAAGTAGTAGTATTAACTAGGACAAGAACGAATCTCATTTGCACATACTATTGATTATTATTTTTATCAGAAATTAATGGTAATTTGTGAAATTGTATGTTTAAAATCAATTTCTAGACTACTGCCCAGAATAAGAAATATTGGGGGAATTCCGGATACCAGGCAAAAATGACACACTGATTTTATTTTTTTATAATATAGTGAATTTATCTGTTATAAACGAATACTTAAATCAATTTAGTATAATTCTTAGTTGCATACATTAACTTTAGCGTAGTATAAATGTCATATTTAATGGATGAATTCCTTTCTTTGCTCTCCGTCTGGAAATATAGGGCTTCAAGCTTGTGGTCTAAAGTTTCCATAGCAGTGGTGTTGTTTTTGCGGGTTGAGGTTGCTAGCTTCACATCCAATCTTCCCTGTCTACTGGCTAAGAGAGAAAGTGGTCTGGGATATTCCTGGTTGGAGTACAATGGATCCTGCAAAGGTTCACGGAGAAGGAGGAAACAGGAACACAGTGGAATGACAAGAAGACTCTAGGAGATCTGGACTTCGTAGACTATTTGTGTCTGATACCACGCAAACTCGAAGGTCTACAAGCGAAAACCAGCCAGCTGCTGGAAGCAGCAGTGAATATAGAGGTGATGAAGATAATAACGATAAGCATCAGTCATCATCAACAGGAGGAATTATAAGGAAGTC